AATTTATTACACTTTGTCAAAGCTGTTGCGATAAAAAGATTTAAACTGAATTTACGTATCCAAAATAACCCAATTAACCGTTTTGTCTTGCTCTGATAACCATATTGTCACGAGATTATTATATAAAATTTTCTCCATAAATTGAATTATATTTTTTAATGATCGATTTTTTACTTATGAGGTTTAATCAACTAGCTTATATTTTTAAGTAAGTATTACATAATCTCATAACAAATGTCAACCAACACCAAGGTCAGAATTTTTAATACAAATGTCAAAACAGTTCTACTGTATGGGGCGGAAACTTGGACAACTACGAAAGCCACCATCCAGAAGATACAAGTGTTTATCAATAGCTGACTACGCAAATTACTTCGAATCCGTTGGCCAAACACTATCAGCAACAACCTACTATGGAAGAGAACAAACCAGATTCCAGCGAATGAAGAAATCAGGAAGAAGCGCTAGAAGTGGATAGGACACACACTGAGGAAAGCACTGAACTGCGTCACGAGACAAGCCCCTACATGGAATCCTCAAGGCTAAGCAAAGGAAAAGAGAAAGACCAAAGGACACATTACTTCAAGAAATGAAGACAGACATGAGAAAAATAAACAAGAATTGGATGGAACTAGAAAGGAAAGCCCATGACAGAGTGGGTTGGAGAATGCTAGTCGTCGGCCTATGCTCGATTGGGAGCAACAAGCGTAAGTAAGTTAACATTTTAACAATAAAAAAGTACATCATTCGCCTTTATTTTATCTCGATATATTTACTTACTTAAACAAGATATTCGATGTGATAAATCTTCAAGTGGTTTATCTGAGTGTACTAAAACTATTGAATTTTTAGTATTAGGATTTTGAAAATTATTCAATTCAGAATTCACCAATTTCTCATCATTTTTACTTAATACACTATTAGCTAATAATAATTCTAATCGATATGTTTCAGCTGAATCTGGTCCAGTCCAATTATTCATTTCTCTTGAAACAGATAATGAAGTGGATGTCTTAGAATGAAGATTATTAAATTGATTTTTATTAATATTGTCCATATTATTGTTATTATTATCATCATCATTACTACTGATATTGTCATTCGTAGTAGTACCATTGGTTTTTTGACGATATTGTAATCCAGATAAAGCATAACATGTTACACCTTCATCAGTAAAAACACCAGTAGCTAATGGTGATACCATTTGTGTTGATGAATCAGATAACATATTTTGTAATTTACTAAATGGTGTAGATGCATAAATTTTTTCAATTTTTTTATTATATGGACTGGAAAATTTCGTATTTGAACGACTTGATCGAGATGGGCTACCTAAAGATCAAAAAGAATATAAGGAAATATAAGTAACTATATAAGATTATCATTGAGATCTTTAAAATTAGGAAGGTGAAATCTCAAAAGAAGATCACATATTTTGTTACAAAACATTTGTTACAAGAACACTTTAAATATAACTAAAAAGGGGAAAAGGGAATCAATCGAATCAGCGTTGTTGTTGTTGTTGTTTTATAATTTTTTTGTAAAACATGATGATCTTGTGAAAACAATGAATAAAGAAAAAAACACCCACTGAGGTAACCTAATCTGAAACAAAAGATTATTAGTAAAAGGATTAATTATTATTTTGGATTCATTTCAGTATTCTTCATCATCACTGATTATTTTGTAGAAGTAAGATGATTTAAATTTTGCATCATTTCACTTAAGAAACAACTTGTGATTGTAGATAGTTGTAAACGTCAAACTGTTTTTGTTCAAAAATATGTAACTCATTAAATGGTATGATAAAACGTGTTTATCGAGCTGATATTCAAGACTGTTTAAATTTGTCTTTCAAAATAAAAGTAAACGGGATTCAATCGACTTTTATAAAAGAAACAATCTGTGAAGATTGTAGTAATTTTAATAGTTAAATTAATGAGTCTATCTAAGCTAGAGAACCATTAAAAACCTGAAAGCATTGCACATCTGTGACCAGTAGAGTTCAATCTGTGTTGGGTAGAGACAAGTATCTATCTCAGACAATGGATGAATAATTGCGCAAAGTCATAGATCGATTGGAGTTAGACATTAACACCGTTGGATGTCGGCTTAATGATCTAGAGATTAGGCGTTTGCGTGTGAGGGCGGTCTTAGGTTCGAATCCCGCGTGCGGGATCGTGGGTGCGCCTTTCTGACGAGTCCCATATTAGGACGGGACGTTCGTTTAGTGCTTCTAGGCTATCAACGGTGGTCTAGGTTACATCGACTCATTAATTCAATTATTAAAATTGGATGGTTTGTTTACAATAAAAAAGTAACAATATATCTGTAGTATCTCAATGAATAGCAAATGAAATTCCTCATATTGCAGGATGTAGTGTAATTCACTTCTTCAGTTAACAAAAGTATAAATAGTACAGAGGTATGAATCGGAATATTTTGTCTAATCCAAACAAATTTAATCATGTTTATTTATTCTCTGAAGAAGTTACTTACGCTAGACCATAAAATATCAGAAATTCAATTTTCTACCGATTGACATACTAAAAGCATATCGACACTTTATTATTATGTGTTGAATGGCTTCAGGGAAAGATTCACATTTACGGCCTGTTTTATACATTTTATACGAATTCTCCTACACAAAATATATGTAATTTCTATAAATTATTTTCAGTAGGTTTTAGCTGGTATACGTTTATCCTGTGAGGATTGCCTCGATATAATGATTGTGATACAAGTTTACATAGAATGGATAGAATGATGTAAGCATTTGAATACAAGAAGAGTGTTTCGTCCTAACTGTGACTTGTTAGCTGGGTGTACCTCCATCTGAGCTGATGTCCACCCCAGAATTCAGGCCCAATGCATTTTGTTTCAAACATCACCGAGTTATCCATCTAGTTATTTAGTCCAAATGACCATTTATTTGTGTAACAAGTAAAAATTTCAATTTAATTTGTGATGGTTTAGATCAATCTGTTGTTGATATTTTGATTAAAATTTGATCAAAATTTACATCCAACTAATGAGTTCCAAATAGGATGAAACAAGTTTTCTAGGCTTCAGTTGTTAGTAACACTTTATCTGTTTTATATTTTACTGTAAACTGAATAAATTTCGACTAGTAATATTATTTTTAAAAGAAGTAATTGATTCAAAAAGTATGTACAATAATATTTAATATCAGAAGAGTTTTTGTGGATATTGCAGTAATTTCAATGGTTGAGATCATTAGGCAACTAAAGCTAGACCACCATGGAAAACCTGGAAGTACAGGATGACCGTTTCATCCTATTGTGGGACTCTTCAGAAGTGCACATCTACATCACGAGATTCGGACCTACGACCTATTAGTCTTGCGTGCGAACACTTAACCTCTAGATCACTGGGCCGGTCGGCATCCAACGGTGTTAATGTCTAACTTCAACTAATCCACGAAAATGAGCGATACACCTACCATTGTCTTCAATGAGTTACTATCTCACAACTGAATCGGCTGAAGTCTACTGGTCACTTTTTATGGTGGTCTAGATTCAATTGACTCATGATCTCAACCATTGAATTAAGTATAAGTTACTAATTGCTAATAGTGTACATTATTTACTGATTTATCAATTAATAGTAATTAATGATTTCAAAAGTTATACGAAACATGATAGATGAAAACAAGAAAAAGAGGAAAAAAAAGAATGAAATATATGATCGATGAGAAATATGAAAAGAGAATATTTTTTTAGATTGAATCAAATTCACCCAATTTGATTGAGAAAAAGAGAAATATCGGCAAGATTATAATTTATGGACGAACTAATCAGGTATAAAATAACAGGTCTCGGATTCTGGTGCGAAGTTCACTTATCTACTTGGTTAAATATAGTTTTGTCATTATAACTGATGTCAGTTCGTGATGAAAACCTTAAATCTAATTCCTAACCTTAACCATGAACTGTAAATCATAATTCCAACTTCTCACACTGGTTTATAACTCTTATGTGGTCCTAGTTATTAGATGGACACTCTCAAAGTCACTTTAGCGTCGCTCAAAGGTCATTCATAAATTATAGTCTCACCGAAATATTTTTATATAAAACTTTACCAAGACATATTTTAAAATCTTAATTATACTGATAATATGGGGAATAATGAAAATAATCAAATATTTATGATGAAAATAACTTTTAAATTAATTAGATATTATATTAATCATTATAAATGTATCAATTTAATGTAATGAATAACTAGGTGAATAATCTGAAAGAAGAGGAAGGAATAATGATTACCCTAAAAGGTTTATAATTAAATATGTAATCACGAAAGTGAAAATAGGAGAAATACAAGCAGTGAATAAGAAAGCCCTGTTCATGCGCCTACAATTCAGAGAGGATGTAGCTAATGAAATATTAACTCAGAGATTACGTAAGACAATATAAAAATCTTTCAACACCGGAGAACAAGGATTGGTGTTTTCTACGCGATTAATGGTTAAAAGATGAATTTTTGTAACTTCATTTTGTATTTATCACTTCAACTGCTCCCATGGAGTAAGCTATATTGGTCGAAGTTCTATGAATTTACATCTCCGTGATCGTAAACACCTCCAACAGTGGCTAAATAAAGGTTCGATGAAAAAAGTGAACAGCTCGATATTGACTCATTTAGTACAAACTGATCATAGTCCAAGTATAAACCAATCTTTTTCAATTATTTATAAGGTCAGTAATATTTTCCCAAAACTTTTCAGACTTAAAGTCCTTCAAACGGCTGACGCAGTAGCCATCCGGATTAAGAAACCGGAGCTATGCATATAGGAGAAATATCTTCAACCACTCCTCCTCCTCCTCCTTCTCTGGCCAACATCAAGGCCAATCAACTAGTAGTAATCTTAGCTATTGAATCACCTAATTCCACTATTGCACTCCCGACATTTCGTAGTCAAATGCAACTGTCTCTGTTATCTTTATTCACAAATCTCTGTATTATTATCGTTATTATTATTATTATTATTATTATTATCATTACTATTGGTTGAACATCATTTCTAATCTCTGCAATACATGATTTATTTACTTCGCATTCATCCCACCATATTATGCCTTACTAATTTTTTACACAATATAGCCTTCCACTAAACATCTGACCGAGTTGTAATTGCACTATTATTTCTCTCACCCTATCTGACCCATATTTATTCTGATCATGGATCTTAAATTTTCACTTAACATTCAAGTTAACATTCTATATGAATCATATCAACAATTACAATAGTATTCTCTTTTATAAGCAAAGATGGAGGCAATATCGATGCAACACGCACAGTATACACATATGCCAATAAGAGACTGATCAATTTCAGTCCTAAACATCAATGTGAAGATTCAAGTAAAACAATACCAAGTGAATAAGTATGCTTTTTGACAATCCTAAATTCACATGAGTTAACTTTAAACGATGTACTTTGCCCTTAACCTGGTTATTTTTTGGATTATTAATTTGGAAATACGAATGGTAGAACCTGAAGAGAATATTCTTCGTTCAAATATTAGTCTTTTAATATGAAAAAACTTGATATCCGGTAATACTGTCTATTTTTATGGACTGTTCTTTTTGTTTTTAACCGGATCAGAATAGTTTTCATATGTCAGATAAACATGTGAAAAATTACTAGATTTTCAATGAGATTTTATCCAAAAGAAAAATAGTTCATATGTGTCATTGAAATTTCCTGTAAATGTCTAAGATTTATCTGTTATAAGTATTTATTGTAGAGTTCATTTAACAGTTCAATGCCTGTTACTATGGTAGTGTCAGTTACCATGTTAAACCCATATACCTTATTCTAACTTCTAGACAGGCCAATTTATACATCCTTCTTGAGTCACATTTTGACCTTGTTAATTATTCACTTAATAAGCTTGATTGTTTTCGTGTGAGCGCATATGTGTGTGTACATTTCTTATCCTATTCATCATATGTCTGTAACTTATTTTTGTTCGACTATAAATATATAGTTGTCTCACATGGCTTCTCCACTGCGCGTTGTTTCGCTTCCTTCGCTTCGTCCCTCTGATTGCCTGCCTAGATCAATCAGTGTACAAAATATATGTATTCGAAGATCCATCTTCGTATTTGGCTTATTTAATTCCGTTATTCACTAATGTGATCTAAGTTGATAATTATATACGAGGTTTGATGATATGTATATATCAATCTCGGGTCACTAAACTATCAATATTAGATTCTTATTTACTACAAAAGAGTGTAATAATTTTATAAATTGATCTTTATTAAGAGATTTATTTATATTTATCTTTGAAAAAAAGGAAGATGATAGAAATGAGTGTATTCACTCATTTCTATTTGTCAGTAATATATATTAGTTATATTATATTTACATATTACAAACTTTCATCAATGAGATATACTACTCATAATTACTTAATATCCAAAAGTCAGTTTATTATGAATGGTTTTTTTTTGTAAAATGAGAATCAACTTGAAAGGTCATTATTCTCCTTCAATTCACAATACTTTAGATCTAACATTGGGTATAAATTAACTGAGATGTCTATTTGAAGTCATATCACTAGATATTCAATCACTATGATCTAAATCTAAATATTAACAACTTCGTTTTGCATAACTAAACAATATTATTAGCCAGGATACAAAAACATACCCCAAATATTTAATATACACTTGTTTATATGATTATTGATTAATCTTAAAATTATTTTTTATCATTTTTAACATACTCTGTAAACCAGTCTTCTAAGATGAATCTAATAAGTTTACACATATTATTGATCACCTTTCTGGGAAAAAAAGAGCAATACACAAAGAGATATTCAAATCACCAGGAATAACAGATTCGTGAAAGATGAGGAATATATTACAAACAACAACAAGAAAAAGAACTTCATGTTTAATACACCATTGATTGATGTTTCATAATGAAATTAATTGATGAGTAGTATACTTGATTACAATTGTGTTTTACCGATTTTGTAAAAGAATTAATTTGTTCCCCACTTCTCCCATTCAGTTGTTCTTTATAATTTCATTTAGTCAGTAAAGTAATAACTTACCAACAGCACTTCGTAGACATTTTCTTACCGTAATACGAGAAGCTATAATAAATTTGTTAAATAAATGTTAAATTTTCAACTTATCATAGAGTGAAAATAAAACTTACAATTTCAAAAAAAAAAGTGTCACATTGTCCAATTTGTCTATGGTATAAACTTATTCAGATGTAATGATGTAGTTAAATTAGCTATTGTAAGCATATAATCTGTCGATAAAATAATCAATGCTGAAGATAGATTTTGATACAAACAGATATTAGTTGAAAACCTATTAAAAATCAGGAATTTTTAGACTGGTATTTTATTTTAATATGATGTTATATCTGGCCGTCGCTGATTGTTGCGTCGGGAAAACGCTGATCACTTATACTCGGAATGAGGGACCTCTACAATTCCCACGACGCGAAAGTACGAACACGAAGACTGGTATAAGTGAAGATTTATTAGCCTTGAAACACTGTGACGACGACGACGATGATGATGATAGTAGAAAATACACTCATTTATATATTGATTGTACATCCATTTTGGTTAATAATTAGGATTAAATTACATTGTCAGTTATCACTTACTGAGCATAGTTCAGGTCAATGGAATACAAGAATATCGTATATTATATAGAAGAAAATATCATACTCGGGAAATAAATCAAATACTTCACTGAATGATCATTACGTTGAATCAAAACGGATGTAATGTTGAATCAAACTTATAATGAGTAAATCAATCGAAACTTGACTGTTCTTTCCATCATATCATATGGGACCATATAGCACACCAAAATTCTAAGAGATGGTTGATCTTATAACATTTAAGTATCATGAACGGTATTTTACAATCATGTCATTGGATTAATATCCAATAATTTAAGCATTTTCTAACTTTCATTAAATAATTATGTATCACTAACCTCATTCAATGTTATCAGCGGATAAATGCATCACTTACGACCTGTATAACTTGATAGCCAACTGTTATTGTCTCGATAAGCATAATAAATGGCAACTTTTGGGATCCATTTATGGACCAGTACTAGGCGTATATTTTTATCGTATAATTGTTAAATAACTAAACTATTAATATTCATGTTCCTCTTATTAAAAGCTTTTTTTAACCTATGAACTATTATTATACTATTTACCATTCTTGAATTATGCCATGCATATTAATTACTACCTCCCACATTCACAGTCACATTTGGCTAAATATTGTACAAATGTCGTTTCCTATTTTATGGTATGATGTGGTCAATTTGGTTGGTATATAAACCCAGTATGCTTGAAATAAATGATTCATATTACAGAGGCTGTGATTAGTGTTCTAGACTTAACAGGCAGAGTTAGGCGGGAAGCAGGACCGATAAATATGCTAGACTGCTCGTACAGGTTTTACGCGTCATTGGTCCGATCGATAATTCACTTCTCTCTAATTGGCGGTATCATTACGTTATACATTAACAGGGCACACAGGCCACAAGTTATAACACCTACGACTTCTCGCTAGTATATGCAATCTAGTCAATAGTGGTATGAAAATTATACAAAACTCCTACAAGACAATTCATATGAATAATAGTTATAAGCTTCCTATTGACTACATTCTTAGCTCATTTCTTGTAGTTCTAATGAGAAACTTTAATCTACACAGTTAAAAATGTCATTAGTAAGACAGTTACTACTAATAATATACAATAAAAAATGGGCTCATAAAATATTGTCATCTAACTGAAGTTGTAAGACACGAACCATTCCAAGCAGACTGAACGATTTCTAAACATATTGTGCTCACTGTAAAACTTTGATGTAATGTATGTGAATTTTTTTTGGAAAAATTCACTACTTAAATTAAGAAAAACCATATATACTACCGTAATTCTATTTGTATGTAATCATGAAATAGATTACTTTTAAGTAAAACAATCAAAATTGAACTTGATCGTTGATTTTCATTCTAATGTATTGACATAAACTTTCTACCTATGCATGAGTGAACAATATAATGGAAAATGATTCAAATGAAATTTCACAATACAAAATTATTACTAAAATGCAACTATTTATCATATATGAGATCAAAATCAATCAATCAATAAATGTGTTAGTTTCCAATTGACGTTATTATAGAATTATTATCTATTAAGTCTTGTAATCAGTGTTATCATATTTTATTATAATTCAATAGGTAGATATTAAGATGACATAAATAAACGTTTAGACTATCTATTTTCTGATCGGAATGAGGGGTTTGTGGAGATTGTAGTCATTTTAAGAGTTGAATTTATGAGTCAATGTAAGCTAAACCACTATTAAAAACCTGCAAGCATTGGATGGCTGTTTCGTCCCAGTATGGAACTCCTCAGCAGTGCATATCCACCGTCTCGCATGCGGGGATAGCTTATATCAATCCACCAATTCAACTATTAAAATTACTACAATCTCCACAAATTCCCATTTTGATCATAATCATCATGTGCTCACTAGTAAGTGGCTTGAAGATGATTTTCGAGAGTTCTAGTGAGAAGCCGCGATCAGTGGAGTCTAATTCGTGTCAGGTAGAGACAGGTATCTACTTCAAACAATGGATGAATAATTGCGCAAGATCATAGATCAATTGAAGCTAGACACTAACATTATTGGATCTAGATGCTAGGCGTTCGCGCGCAACACCGAAGGTCCTGGGTTTGAGTCCTTTCGTTGCAGGATCGTGGTTGTGCGATACTGAGGAATCCCATACTAGGACAAAACAGTCGTCTAGTGCTTCCAGGTTTTCAATATTGGTCTAGCTTAAATCATGAATTCAACTATCAAAATATCTAGTTTCTAACTGTGCAAACATCCTTACTAACATTTTTGTTTTGGTATTTGCTTAAAATTGAATAAATTATAATTGTTAACTAAATTTTTGCATGTTCTGTGGCATAAGATACCTACAAATTGTTGTTAAGTACTTGAAAATTTAGACGAAGACACTATAATTGTTGATATTACTTTCCTTGTTGTTTATTCCTCTTGAAAAAAAAACAAACAAATTCATCAGAATTTATTCATCTTTTCATAATGTGATGAATGGAAATAATAATTCATGTATTTGTACTAATAAAGTACTTTAATGATTAAAAATAAATGATTGATACATACTGTTAGAAACTTTTGCAAAATGTAATTCTTCTTGGGATCATTACAGTTTAAATAGATGTCAAATAGAAATTTGTTATCATATTGTACACAGTATTTTTGTTGTAATTACCTTATTATGGATTTGGTTATTTATTCTCTGAAGAAGTGACTTACACCAAGTCACGAAACGTCAGAAAATTTAATTTTTTTACTCATTGGGTTATTACAAATATATGATTTATTTACTTATTATGAAACGTTTAAAATATTGAATAAACCAATTAAGATTACTATTGTTTTAATTCATCAGTTTTCTTAATAATAATAATAATACTGTAAACAACATTTACTAATCAATTATTTATATATTTCAGAGAATAATATTTTAATTAGGCTTTATGAAGTAAAGTTAATATTAAGTTACAGGTCAACAAGTCCTATTCATGATGAACATTTAAAAGAGAAACTTTAAAGAACTCATAAAAATCTGTCTTACTATTTTGCTCAAGTTGGCTTAGGTTAGAGTAGATTGTCTTTGAAATAATTCTCTAGATTTCGTATATTAATTGCTCTGATAATCTTTATTAAATAAATCCAAAGGGTTTATAAATTTCTGAAGGTGACATAAAATATGGACTATGGTTTATTATTGAATAGCATAGATTACTAAACCATAAACATAATGAGAGAATTCGAGCGAGCAAGTGAGCGAATATATAATTCATAGGGTGATTTAAGATAATAAGAGGTATATGTACCTAGGCTGTCACATGTAATCAAGCATACATGTTTAAACAGACACGGCAACAATAATATCAATAGAAAGACGTAAACAAATTGTTTTTATTCTAACAACACTATTTGTTAAATTGGTTAATTAAAGGGTATGATAAAATTAAACGTAAAGAAACTTAAGTGTAGTGGTTATCAGTGAAGTTTGCAATATTTAATAAGTATATTATGTCAACTACATGGATACATTTTTACGTTTGTGTAGCTAGTGTAAGTTTTACTTTGTAATGTGATTTACACTGGAAGTTTCATTTATAAGCCTAACTTTTACTAAATTTTCGTTATTTAGCCACGATTTTGGGCTGCCTAACTCTGGTTTTGTTCATACGTGACATGTGTCAATAACTTCAGATGTTTAAGATGAAACCGTTAACAAAAAACACACTCCCCAAATGCAGCACAATACTTACCAAATAAACGAGGAAAAAACCAAAATAATAAAATACAAGACATATACTGGACACTAAAAACGTTGTAAATAACCTTCTCTTATTACTAAAGATAGTCTAAAATAAATATGCATCGATAAAAGCAATCAAAGATACAAAAATAAGTTTTCATTTTTTAGTAAAATATGACCTACTTGAATTCGATCTAGGCGTAGTACTAGTTCGATTTAATTCTTCTGGCGCTGTAGAAATATTGATTGTTTTAACGTAACCATCAGTAGGCTTATTAACATCTACAGATTCTTTCAGTTTTGGTTCGACTGATTTTGTACGACTTACTGGTATGATACGTATTGGTTTTTTTGATGGTGATGTTGAACTACAACGAGTTTTTTGTCTTTCATTCTCTTCAGATTGTACTGGAATTGTAGACGATTGAGATGATATATTGTTAGTTTTATTTTCTTTTTGTTGTGTTAAATCATTTATACCATCATGATTAGTACAATTTGATCGTTTAACTTTAGTGTCAGTGGTAAGTGTTGAATTCTTACCAATAATTCGATTTATGCTATTTAATGTAGTTGTAATTGTTTCTGTATGAGATGTAATAGTTTCTTCACGAGTTATTTTATGCATTTTTGTACGAATTTCATTATTTGATTTACCAGATGTTGATGATGTAACCACTAATGGTGTTGATAAAATTGTTGTCATTGGAATTGTTTCTGATGTTGTTGGTGAAGTCGTAGCTATTGTCAGTATTGTATTATCATCTTTCTTAATTGATATTGATTTTGGTTCCGTTATCGTTTGTTTTATTTCATATGTTACATCTTCATCTATCATAGGTATATCTTCATAATCTAAACTTTGTTTTAACTTGTCATCTATTGTTTCTACAATTGGAATGGAAGCTGTTTTTAAATTTGACACTATAGGTGTATGATAAGATGAAATATTTGTAACAGCGGAAGAAATTAATGAGCTTGAATATTGTAATACTGGGAGATTATCATCAGAGAGGTTAGTTGTAGTTGTTGTGATAGAATTTTCATTTGACTGAATATTATTATGTGTTTTAGATGTAGACATTGAAGTATTGTTAATATCTAGTGATGAACTTAATTCGTTGATATTTAATTCAGGTGATTCTGTAGAAGTTTTTGTTTGAATATTAGTTTTGATAGATTGTTTATCATGTTCATTCATATCAACAGATGAATTAACATTCAATAATTCGTTTTTAATATTAACTGGTACTACTTGACCAATTGTACTACTTAAACGTGCTTCTAAAATATTCTCTTGTAATTGTTCGGCTTCAAATTCAGGTTTAATATGACGACGATTTGATCGTAAAATATGTTCTTCTAATCTTGATGAATGATTATGATTTCTAGAATTATTTATTTTATTTTCATTATGTGAAATACCATTGATTGATTGTGTAACATAAGATTTCGATTGTGAATGTGCATGTTTCTGGATTTCATCTAAATCCATTTTACCAATAACATGTGTAGTTATATCAACCAACGATGTTGTTTCAACTATTTCATTTAAACTATATTTAATGGAGATCATATTTGATTGTTTTAAATTTGATTGTTGCAATGTTAATTCTTTCATTTCAGGTGGAACCCAAAAATCTAAATAAAATAAAGAATTGAAATATTAAATAGACAGTTATTGTACTTTGAAGAAAGGAAACAACGGTATTCTAAGAAATCCTTAGAATTATCCGTATATATGTAAAGAATTCCAAGTAAAGTTGTTTTGAAGTTGTATAGATCCATTTCTTTATTAACTTAAAAGAAAAAAAGAAGACAAATAGTCATTAGAAGGAGTTTTGTGGAGATTTTAATAATTCCAATAGTTGAAATCATGAGTCAATTGAAGCTAGACCACCGTGGAAAACCTGGAAGCCCTGGACGCCCATTTCGTTCTAGTATGGAACTCCTCAGAAACACACACCCATGACCTCACCCTCCACGAGATTCGAACCCAGGACCTATCAGTCTCGAGCGCGAGCGCTTAATCGTCAGACCACTGAACCGACATCTAACGGTGTTAATGTCTAACTTCAACCAATCCACCGTTGGATGCCTACCGGCTCAGTGGTCTAGTAGTTAAGCGCTCAAGCATGAGAATGATAGGTTCTGGGTTCGAATCTCGCGGAGGACGGGGTCGTGGATGTGCGCTGCTGAGGAGTCCCATACTAGAACGAAATGGGCGTCCAGGGCTTCCAGGTTTTCCACGGTGGTCTAGCTTCAATTGACTCATGACTTCAACTATTGAAATTTAAGATCCATGGTCAGAATAAATATGGGTCAGATAGGGTGAGAGAAATAATAGTGCAATTACAACTCGGTCAGATGTTTAGTGGAAGGCTATATTGTGTAAAAAATTAGTAAGACATAATATGGTGGGATGAATGCGAAGTAAATAAATCATGTATTGCAGAGATTAGAAATGATGTTCAACCAATAGTAATGATAATAATAATAATAATAACGACAATAATACAGAGATTTGTGAATAAAGATAACAGAGACAGTTGCATTTGACTACGAAATGTCGGGAGTGCAATAGTGGAATTAGGTGATTCAATAGCTAAGATTACTACTAGTTGATTGGCCTTGATGTTGGCCAGAGAAGGAGGAGGAGGAGGAGTGGTTGAAGATATTTCTCCTATATGCATAGCTCCGGTTTCTTAATCCGGATGGCTACTGCGTCAGCCGTTTGAAGGACTTTAAGTCTGAAAAGTTTTGGGAAAATATTACTGACCTTATAAATAATTGAAAAAGATTGGTTTATACTTGGACTATGATCAGTTTGTACTAAATGAGTCAATATCGAGCTGTTCACTTTTTTCATCGAACCTTTATTTAGCCACTGTTGGAGGTGTTTACGATCACGGAGATGTAAATTCATAGAACTTCGACCAATATAACTAGCTCCACAGTAGCAGGTATTAATAACAACGTTGGACTTAATAGTTTCAAATAAAGCGAGTATTGAGTAGAGACCTAATAATGAATATATTTTTGTTATATCTCAATAAGTAAAACAATTGTACTTCTGATGTTTAGTGACTTAATGTAAGCCACTTCTTCAGAGTAAATAAATAACCGAAACTAAATTAATACAAGATTCAATAGTACAAAAGTAACAATACAGATTATTGTTAGTACAATCAAAATCATAATAGGTCTGAATATGTCATTGTCAAATAATTTTTGATCAAGGTGAATTTGTATGGCCTATCATTATTAATTTATACGCGACATTGATATATCGAAACCTATTATGATTTTGATTGTACTAAAAATATTTTATATTGCTTTCTTTGTACTAATTAATCTTCTGCTAATTTAATTTTGGTTATTTATTTACCCTGAAGAAGTGGCTTACATTAAGTCACTAAACATCAGAAGTACAATTGTTTTACTTATTGAGATATAACAAAAATATATTCATTAAAATTATAAATAGTTTTCGAAATGATTTCAAATTCCTTCCATGTTTTTAGTATCCACTCCTGTAGCGTTTAGTACAACTATGTAGGAAATTAATATTTAGTTTCTCTTTCCTGAATATAAACTAACTTTGTACACACAAAAAAAAACAATAATGACCAATCATGTAGAGTATGAGATAATTATCCACTGAAGACAATTAAAGATGGTCAAGCAATATCTTGAATTGATTAAAGTTATATATATATATATATATATATATATATATGTACATCATTGAATTTTGGTTCATTGGCCTAGAGGTTAATTGTTCATACGCAAAACTAAATATCCTACGTTTGATTTCCTGTTAAATATTGATAAATTTACTTTTGAATAATTTCTCTAACAGATATATTCTAAGATTTACATGTCTATAATACATTTATCTTCACAAATAATTCTCATAATAAACAATTACCTATATGATAAAGAAATGCTTATCATTGGTGGTAATATAGATTTTCATATGACTGTATTTCTGTTCTGTAAAGGAAAAAGTCATATCATTTTATGCCAGAAATAAAATGTTTTATACCAAAAATTTCATAATCTCAATATCAATTACAACTTTTATTGTTTATATGAGTCAATGTTAAAATTTCAACTTAATAAAAACAAAAGATTGATTTTTATTTGATGTTATTTTACTTGTATTTTCCCATTGTTATTTAGGATTGCAATTGATCAGTCTCTTGTTAGTATATGTACATCTTGTACGGATTGCTTTGATGTAACCTTAGGTAAGTGGATAACGCGATAGTAATGGAAGTGAAAGATACTGGGTTCGAATCCTGAAGTAAACATGAACTCTGATATGCAGGTACATTCAGCTGATGAGTCCCAAATAAGACGAAACACATTTCCTAAATTCCATTGCTATCCAATATCCATCTTTACTTAAAACAATTGATTTATTAACAATAGATGATCATAAGGTAAGTGTATTTTTTTATTTCATCATTGTTTTGTTTTCTATGTAAAATTATACGTATATTGTTGAAAGTAATTTAGCTATTCAATAGACATTAAATTATGCATACTAATAACTATTGAAATTTGAACAGTATAGTTTTGTATATTCACATATGAAAAAATAAATAAATAAATAAACAAACAACATCAACATATTTTTTTCTTGAATAAATTTAACTTTATAAATGGATATACATAGAAGTATAGAGAAGTAAATAAAGTATATATAATAAGTGTTCTGTTCAATTGAATTGTATATTTTATGTATAATTTATGCAATCATCAATCAAAATATATGTGAATAAATAAATATGCAGTACAATGATCATTTACAAATTGATATAAGTAGGAATATAAAACAATGAAATAGAAAAAAAGTATGTAACGTGTAGTGAATATATTATCCATTTGGTGAGATCTAATTATGGAAACTTTATTCTAACTTAATTTCTCTAAATAATTAAATTTGATTATTTTGGCATCAGTTAAATAGTTGCAGAACAATTTACTTTATAATAACGATGAGTATTATGTATATAGGGTAGGGGTATGATCAATGTAAGTGAATGATTTAGACTTACGAAGAATTTCTTATTCCTGGTGAATAATCTCAAGGTTTGATACTATTTATGATGATGATGATGATGATAAAACAGTTTGATCAATCCTTTCAGGATAAGTTTATAGACTCACTAAGACTGTCATTGTAACACACATATGACGTGGAATATTTACGTGCATCACAGACAATCGTAAAGAATACATTTATTTTCTAAGTTGTCTTAAATCCTTTATTAATGATATAATCAGTTTCATTCGTTAAATAATAAATATTACTAAGTTGTTTAAAATAAAATGACTGAATTTACATCTTTAACTCAATAATCGAAAGTAAAGTTTTTGGATCACTTGATTGATCTGTTTAGTATTAAAAACTAATTGTGATTAGTATGAAAATGATAAACTTATTTCGATTAGAATACTTAAAATATGTATTTCATGTCTCATAGTGCCTCGGAGTTAAGATACTGATACGTAATCTTTCTATACGGAAGTTGAATCAGTCATTAGAGTAAAAAGACTGAAAGTGTAAAATGAAATTTACTGATTGAATTGAATCAACACTACCCTAACAAATCAAGCCACCTATGGTATATGGTCTCATTCTTTAGAAATGAAAACTATTTCTTGACTAATTACGTGAACTTATCATTTGACCGATTTCCTACTAGCTCAATGTTTCAGTGTACGTATTGTAGTTTAGTATTAATAAATTCACTTTAATATTGGACAAAAAACTTTCAGTTAGCTTGTGTTAAACATAAACGGATAATGTGTGATTAATTATTGAATATCTGAGAGTAAGAACAATGATAGTTTTCATCGTATTTAGTTTTATGATAGCCACATACAAATAACGTCGTAGACCTTATGATCCTACGAAATGTCAACTTCACTAAAATCATCCTCCTAATTTATAAGTCTTCTACACAATCTTAAAATAATACATCCTTCTTTAGATCTAAAGATCTTGAGTTTGGTCGTTAAGTGGGTCCTAGCTGTACATCGTTGTGGAGAACATAATACATGAAGAAAACAGCAGATCCATGATCCGTATCCAAAATGATGTCAGTCTTCTATAATATTTCTATACAGTGTTGCTAATCTTGGTTGCTCGAAATCCAAGGTCTATTGCACTCAACAGATGGCTTGGGTTTAGAAATTTACCGTGAAAGAAAGCCTTCAGTCGTATTATCATTTAATGAGCTTAAGATTTGAGAGACTACAACCATTGAGAAACTAAGTGAATCAATACATCTTAGCGTTATTAGTGTTTAGTGCCTAAAATCCAACCTTGGTGTTTGGAAATTTTCAAATGATGTTTAACCAATATCAACTTCAAATTTTAACATATCGGGATTTATTCGAAATACGTTGCGAATTGACCATGAGTAAGAATATGTCTCGATAAAGAATACTTAGAACTTATAGGAATGTCTCTTTTCGACACAACACAATCTGAGAAATGATGAAAAATTTCTGTACAACAAGAATTCTCTAAGTGAATGTCTAAATTTATGGCACGATAAAGAGGTTTTTACTGAAGAATTAGACGATTCTATTTACTTGGAATTGCAAACACTAGAGATTTTTCA